GGTTTTAGTCAAAACCCATGTGCAATTCAATAATGAGACTAGTTTGCTTACATGGGGTTTGACTCTTCTATAAGCCAATTATAAAAAAAGAAGTTCCAAAACTAGTCTCAGCAGTGATAGTTTTATTGAAAAAACTGTTCTGAACACCATTCCTCACTTTGTGTGTGTGTGTGTGTGTTCGTCCTGGTATATTATTTAAAAATATATAAAAGAATTTGGAAGAGGTTAAATGAAAAGCAAATTTCACTGTGTCTTGTACTTTCATCAAACATTATTCATCTCCTTTAGACATTTCACACACTCCAGTCAGTCTCCTCTGAGAAAATAGATTTTAGGTACTGAAATTAATGGCCTAAGGCAAAAGAAAAAGCACCACTAATAGCTTCCATAGTTACCTCCAAAATCATGCTTTTAAAGTTGCAAAGACACCTGTAGTAGCTGTCAGTGGGGCAGAAAACAATGTGTAAGTGCTGAGAGAAATGAACTAATGTGCTCTTTGTCACCTGTATGTCTTGCCATGTCATCTGCTGGGAAATGGTGCTGCTTGCATTGACCACAAGGCAACCCCAACCAACCCCAGGTGGGGGCCTAGACATGTTGGAAAACTGACTAATTCTTGACAAAATAATCATTTGCCAAACCCTGATTTACTTCAGAGAAAATATGCCATAAAATTCTAGAAATATTTAATTAAAAGTAAGCTGATTTAATTTTGGGTCATCTTATGAATGCTGTTATACTCAAGGAATGTATTTCTGTAGGTGGATTACATATGTACATGTCAAGGATTGGTCAAAGCCATTTTAAGTTCTCTCTGACATAAAGTTTCATAAAAGGGGCAAGCAGAAAGGCTCAAAGAGTTCAACTCAGAACACAAACTCAAACAGATACCAAGGAAGGACTGTCACTTGAGGAAGTTTATTTCCTGGAGACAGATGTGTGCTATAGAGCCACTGGCCATTCTGCTGTCTGTTGTCATTCTTGTGTTGAGAAGCATTTGTAATGAATTTCCCTTGAGAGGTGGTTTCATCCAGAAAAAGCTCAAGTAAGTCATTCTAAGGACATAGACACTACTGAATTTACTTAAGGGAATCAAATTTTCTTCAAACCAGAAAATATGGCTTTTTATAACTTTTGATAGAACCTGATACACAAGCTAAAATCCTTGACGTGTTCCCTAAAGTGGATACCCTCTACATCCTTTGAGGTATGTGCGCAGTGATCCTAAGAATCATTATCCTCTCACTTATGAATTTAAATGGAAAAAAACATGGATTTTGTAAACTATAAGTCATAATGTTTCAGAGTGAAGCAACCCAAAGCCAGTACAGGGAAGGGATATGACTCACTGAAGCCCTATGATTCTGGGCAAGGCCCATATATTTTAAACTCTTCCTTGAGCACATCCTTTAAAAAAATCAATGAAATGATATAAATAACCAGGATATAATTTTAGAAGACAAGTTAGCTCTTGGAAGTATGAGTGGACTACATAGTTGCTTACCATTTTCCATCTAGTTGTTACCAAGCAGGAATTTCTTCTTGCCTACACAACATCCATTCTTTCCTTCTTTTGAACAGAATCATGGAATTAAGCAGCAAAATCCAATTCCCCTGTGCAGGTTCTAGTGAATTGGTTTAGGGGAAGCCATGTGACCCGAGATGTCAGAGAAAGTCTGTCAAGAGGCTTCTAGGAAAGCTTTCCCTCCCAGGTAAGAAGAGAACATCCTGGGGAAAGCTTCTGACTATCCTGAATGCACTATTTTCTCCTACCTCCACTGCACATGTGTGCACACCGAAACACACATACACCCACTGCCTGCCTTGGGACACAGGTGAGTTAGGACATGACGTACAGAGCTGTATCTTCCACCTGGAGACTAAGTAGTGACAAGAAGGTGGCAGAGTGAAGGAAGAGTGTATTCTTCTTAAGACACTTTTGAGCTAGGTATCCTGCCCTGGAGTCACTTAGCTTTTATCCTCCACATAAACAAACAATAAGTGTCCTTAGGGTTTAAGTCACTGTTAGTTGGGCTTTCTGCAAGTCGGACCCAAGGGCATGAGAATTAATTGATTCATCTATTAAGGGATGAATGAAAGGCAGCAGGGCAGAAGCTACTGTCTTGACTTTCTGAGATGGTTCTACTTTTAAGAAGATATTCCTTGAATTTTCTGACATTAATCACTTCCATAATTATATCAGATCAGTGATTGTACTTATTACAGCTGCCTACTCTTTTCTTGATGGATTAGCAACCAACTGAATGTATCTATCCATTTGTTTTATAAGCACAAACACTCCTGTGCCTATTTGGGGGTGTATTTACAACTCACTAGGATACAGAGATGCATGAAAAAGGATCTTTGCTTCTATTAAGATATTGCATAAATGGAAGCAAAATCATAGCATGGGGTGATACAGGCCGTCTTTTGGTACTGACCACATCTGCCTGAATCATATTAGAGTCTGAGGTTATTCGTACCCACAGAATAACTTTCTGTTATTCTGTTCTCTCACAGTTACAGAAGGGATGGAAGTTGCATTAACATGTACATAGGAATGATGATCTTTCATATGATGTCAGCTGGCTAAAAAAA